CTTATTGTCAAAAAATTTAGTAATAATAATTATTATTTTTTTGATTAAAAATTTCTCAACTTCACTAACTTTTCAAAAAAAAATGTACAAAAATGTATAATGGTTACAAAAGCTTTTATTGTAGGTTTTACATTTCCCACCGCAATTGTACGCATACTTGTTCCAAGAAAGGGTCCTGTAATCAAGAAAAGACGCATCCTGCACCAGCTGTGCGGCAACTAGAAAACTTTTGCCGTGGCCCAGCAGAATGTTTTATGGATAATTCCTGTTGCGTTTATTAAAAGAATAAACCAAAACTTGCCGTTGTTCTGCTATACGTACTATATGGGAAATTAACCGAGCCGAGAGAAGGCCGGAAACGGAAAGAGATATAAAAGTGTATAAAGTATACATTTCAATATGAATCTCAGCCCGCAGGCGACGCAACAAGCACTTTGGCCTGCAATATTAAATTGTGTTGGCAAAAAAGGGCACTCGAGAAGCAGAATGCGGTAATGCCAGTTGGCCATTTTCCTTGTAACTTGGCCACGTAAGCACGTTTTAAATTGAATTTCGCTGTGGGCCAACCGCTTGTCAGCATAACAGACGCACTGAAAACCGGGGACACAAGAAATATGGCAACAATTCGAGGCCTACTGGCGGTAATCCTTATGAAAAGCAATGCAACAAGAAAAAAGGAAAAATGTAATAAGTAAAAGCATTTCTGGATAGGAGAATATGAATATAAAGACACTTGACACCTCCAGTGGTCATATTAAATACAGTAATTCATTTCAACATCAATCAGATTCCGCTTCATTTAATATTTATTTTTTAGTACATAAAAAGTTAATAATGTAGTTTGACAGTTCAGCCAAGAACCATGATTAAATAGCAATCACTCGACACTTTGCCACATTTCCATATTAAATGCAAATGATGCCAACACTAATACACAGTTTCCGCATGAAGCAACTGATAATACCAATTTGCATTCTTTTTCACCGGACATAATTTAAGTTGTTCCACAAAAATTTTACATAATTAACACAAGTCACAATTTGTTTTAATTTGAGATAATTTAAATTTAAATTTCGGTAACCAAAGTTTTAAGAACGTTCTTACAAATACAAAACATACAATGACAAATCCACTCAAACTATATGATCTTCAATTATTATTTATTAAATCTTCAATTTATAAATATTTTTTTAAAATTAAAAAATTAAAAACATACCAGGCTTCTTAGTCATACATTTCGTTGTATTTTTTATAAATTGATCTGCCTTTAAGACTTCAATTGCGATTCAGCTGCCTAGAGTGAAAACACAATATTCGGAGGTGAAAATGGGATCCCTATCTATTGTTATAGTTCAGCCATTGTTAAATGGGAAAGAGAGCAAGTAGTTTTACAAAAATTTAATCATGCCACAGATGCCACAGGGCTTAGAACAAAACAAAACTATTACCAGCACATGTGGGCCCATCAACCCAACAATTTTCTGTTGTTCACAACACAAAAAACTCGACGACCAAAAAGGGGCTGCCGCAGGTGAATAAAATCAACTTTTTGTTTATGCTTTTGTTTTTTATTCCCTGCTCTACGCTGAGCTGATTTCGAATGTAATGCAATCGATTAGCTGGGGGTAGACACAGGAAAAATAAAAGCAAAAACTACATTCATGTAGGTAGAAAAAAAAGCCATAAAGCATAAAACGCAAACAGCAGGCGACAGGCATCAAATATGCATTGAAATGGGAATTGCAAAACCCATGAATCGATCCGCTGCGTAGATAAATATTTACTGTCGCCACTTGACAATTTATAAAATTTCAATTAATTATGGACAGCTTAAAAAGCCAGACGTGTGCGCTGCCTTTTGTTCTAAATGGATTTGTATTAATGAGTTTGTGGCCTGATGGAAAAATAATTTTTATAGCTCTCCACGGGGATTTTTCAATAGGATGATGATAGAAAAGCTATGAAATTTATTTTGGCATCATCTTACCAAAGAAAATATCTAAAAGTGAATTAGAAATTATAGAAAATATTTGCTTGTCGGAAAATAATTTTAAAAAAAATAACATATTGAAAAAAAATGTTAAAACCCCCACAACCTTCACTGAACAAAAACACTCTCCCTTTTTTTCCTTTTCAATTTTCCCGGTTTAGGCAGCCATAAGAGTAATGACTTTCTTGTGTGTTAGGCGGGCAATTTTTAAATGCATTAAAAAGTGTTACACTCGAGTGCCGCACATTTATCACACACTCCGGCCCAAAAAACACACTTAGACGTAGACAGAGCATAATGGAAAAATCGCATTTAAATTGTTTGGCTCACAAATAAATTGTTATAATTCATCACTCAACTCAACTTGGTGACGAACGTCGCCAGATACTCTCACAAATTGATTGACTTCAATTCAATTGAATTTTAACGGCAGACGAAGCCGACGGGCATATTTCATTCTATAACAAATTATTATCCGCTGCTCGTATGAGTAATATAAATCGCGTCATGGCAATACTTTGACAAAAGCATGACAGACACTTTATTAGGTTTCGCTATTAATTTGCATGGATTTTTCATTGCGAGCGCACGAAAAGCCTCTCCTCAGAAAATAAAAAAAAGGAAATAAATAAATACATCTATATATTCACGCGGCGCACTGACAGCGAAATCACAAAATTCCATTAATTTTAAGCAGTCAATCAAAATTGCCAACTTGAAGTCGATTATATTATGCTAATGAATTTGGAAAGGAGGCTGGTGTGGACCGGCTGTTGGCCACCGAAGTTGTCCTAGACAGAGGACAGGCCGGAATGTGTTGGTAGTAAGCCAGAAAGTCAGTATCCGCGCAGACATAAGTCATCGGCCATCAGCAGTCATCATCATTCATTTTTATTTATTATTTGCACAGCACACATGGCGTATGCGTGATGCGCAAAGGGTAAATTGAAGAGGCGATCGGCTTATGTTCAACTTCAATAAAAATACAATTTATTGCAGATTTAGTTTTGCAGAATTCCCGCAATTAAGTGACTCTTAATTGCTTTCATGCAGCAATACGTACAAATATTTATAAAGCTGTCATTTGAGTGCCCAATTGTAGACAAATTAAATTATGCTCTATGACCGAAAGGGCACTTCACATCGGTTTACCCTTGCCACATATATAGCTCCCGTCTATGGCTCATTTCGAGTGCTTAGTCAACTCATTTAATTGTTGATTTCAACTTACATGAGCGCGCACACGTACGAAGGGACTCTCTCTGCCTTCTCGACATGGCAAAATAATATTTGTTTATGCAAATTGCATTTAATTAATACATAAATACGTGTTTGCCGTAGCTGCTACCGATGTTGATGTTGTTTTTGGCTGCCACTTAAAGCTGTGCGGTCAGAGCGCGGTATTAGAATATGAAGGCAACTCGAGCCGACTCTTGTTGGCATGTGAGAAATTTTGAAATGTGCGGTTTCCTGGCGTTAATTCCCACAAGCCGCAACGCAGATAAGAAGAGGCATCTTTTTAGATTTAGGCGCGACCCTCAGAACATTCTACTCTGCGCAAAATATACAAATTAAATCACTTATTTTATGTCTAAAAAAAATAAGGGTTGCTCCTTAATTTTCTTCAACAACTTAAACTTTAACTTTTTAAAATAAGAAATTCTTTAAAATAAATAAAGGATTGCAGTTTGATAATTTGTGAAAAAGACAATAGCATTGATTTCTAAAAATTACGACGAACGATTATTATCATGTCACTTCAATGTCAATGTTATTCGTTTTAGTTAAAAATATGTGTAAGATCCTTTGCCAATTAATAGATTATTTAAAGCCTATAAACATGTTTCATAAATTGGCAGATAAGATTTGATCATCGAGTTTCCTTTTATATAATTTTATATTTATAACAGACTTTTGTATTTGTTTCTGTGTAAACAAGAACATTAGCAATTTAATGGCAGCATCATCAGTAGAAGAGCACATTAGACTCAACGCTTCCCGAATAGTTCAACATATACTAAAGCCGTTTTATATGTATGTGTACAGACCACGTAACGTTTTAAAAACTCGTTTAGGAATGTTGTTCGACCCATACCAAATGGGAAACTAGCTTACAGACAAACAGAGAGGGAATCAAACGAATGGAAAATGCCCTCACCTCAACTAAGCAAGCATAACCAAAAATAGCCACAACTAACTCAATTTAAGCCAAGAAAACTGGGACTAACTGGGCTAAAAGTAAAACCAAACATCCGAGAATGTGAGTTGAATTTCGTATCGTTAAGCGGAAATCCCTAAAGAAGCTCCTAACCATTTAGTTTGAAAAGTTCTGTATCTGCAACACCATCAATGAGTAGACTAACCTTATTTTTCCAAGCTACGAAAAATGGAAATTTTAAAAATGCCTCGTACATAGACACACACACACACACTTAGCCAAACCCGCACGCAGACATACATACATAAAACATGTTTTGGCCCGCTCGGCAAATAGAAAGCCCAACAAAAAAGGTGGATACAAAATGCTGCGGAAAACTGTGAGACGGAAACTGAATATCGAACACGTTTCTTTACTTTGTCGCCCTGCCATATGGGGCTGTGTAATAGTGTTTGTGCGCCTGTATCCACATATAGACTCGATATGCTCCGCAGCGCCTAGATTTATGCAGCATTTTTTTACTGTTTGTGGCTTCGTATAATACAGTATCTAAGCGAGCATGTTTAAGTGGCCACAATTGTTAACAATTTACAGCGGGTGTTTTATAATTCATAACATTTGTTTTTCATCTCATTATATTGTACTTATTGAAAACTACGATTTACAGACTGTACGAGTTTATGTTTACTCAATCTCTTTGTTAAGCCATTATTTATATTTAAGTTAATCGCAGTCAGACATGTATTTATATGATTATGTTATAACCAATTTAATTTATCAACAGGCAAAAGATGTATAAACAGTTTTAAATCTATTTTAACGTTTACTGTATATATTTTTACCTTTTTGCAGGTACTGGGCCGTGACCAACATTGACTACATCCACTCGCGGACCAGCAATCGCGTCTTTATGATGATCTTCTGCGTTTGGACGGCGGCAGTGATTGTCTCTCTGGCGCCACAGTTTGGTTGGAAGGATCCGGACTATTTGCAGCGCATCGAACAGCAGAAGTGCATGGTATCGCAGGATGTGTCGTATCAGGTGAGAAAGCTAAGGCTCTCTTTCATCGTCTTCTTTATTCTACGGACATATTTGTGCTTTCCAGGTATTTGCCACCTGTTGCACATTCTATGTGCCACTGCTGGTCATCCTCGCTCTCTACTGGAAAATCTATCAGACGGCTCGCAAACGCATCCATCGTCGACGACCACGACCCGTCGATGCGGCGGTCAATAATAATCAGGTATAGTGCAGACTTCACATTCACTAAACGTAATCGATTCACTGCCGAAATTGACCGGGACTGAAACCATTAATGGCATACATAGTGCTCTTTTACCTTGTTATGGAGCCAGTATAAATTAGTTAGCTTGGTAAATAAATGCATTTAAATTATTCAAGAGAAATAGTTGACAAATATGTGTTGAATCGTGAAAGGCAATGTTGTCAATGGTCAGCTATTTATCTTAAATAATTTTCTGAAATTGTTAAGCGAATTTCTGTATTTCTAGTCTTAGAAAACATTCTGGGAATTTGACCTGAAAACTAAAAACTATATTATAAAATTAAATATAACATTATTTACAGAGTCTGACTCTGCTATATAACAAGAGAAAAAAAATTGTTTTTAATAAAGTCTTATACCATAAGTCTAGTCTCTACAAAATGAACACCCTGTATCACTTTCAAAGACCGAGCCACAGTCTGGCCAATGCAATTACGCCCTATATCGAAGCAAACCGCGCCCATTTAGGCCACAATTTGAACCGAGCCACAAGATGGTTCAGTCAAAAGGCCAAACCGCAGGCCACGTACTGAAATTTCTATGCACATGACTGCGGGGTCTGACCTTATGAAATTATACTGGCCAATTTAAATATGCATAGCCTACTCCGTGGAACCCAAAGGGAATGGGGCTGTAATTAGGCAGTATCATCCTTGTTGATGAAATATGCATTGGCTTTTGCTATATCCTGAGGAAAAAAACGAAGCAAAGCGGGGGCGAGCTCGGCTTACGTTAAGCATACGCCACGTGGACATTAAAGCCTTCTTGGCCGAAAGTTGAGCGATAAGTGCCAGCTTGGCCTGACTGGCGAGTGTGTCTGAGTGTGTTGGAAAGTCCCTTGGCCAGAAGTTTCTGCCCTAATGCGCCAGCTGGTCAAACTAATACGCACAGGATGTGTTCAACGAAAGTCTGGCCAAATTGTAATTTTGTTTTCGCTCCGAAGAAAGAAATTTCAACAATTTCCAAGTTGTTTATCAACGAAATTAAAAACTAATTTTCGTTGCAAAAGAATCTTCCGCATGACTTTGCCTAACTTTTAACACGCGATAGGGTATCTGGAAATTGGTTTGTACTGACTTTTTCGCCAAAGCTTTTTATTTATTTTTTCTTCAATCTTGGCTGGTCCTGCCAGCAAGCTGCTACTTAGCTTAAGCTTAGTGCTTGCTAAATTGAAAATGACCATTTGACGTAAAAATGTTTGCAACCACTTACCAACACATGTGCTTTAAGATACAGTTTGGGACAAAAAAGTAGTGTTTTTTTAGAGCAATATCACATTGTATTAATTATTAATTTCGTATTTTGTGCTTTTATATATATAAGTTGGCAGTTTTTAGCGAAAATAAAAAGCTGACTAGTAAGAGTACAATGTAAAAATACAAATTGAAACTACTCAAAAAAAAAGTAAAAACAGTAGTCTATTTTTTTAATAGAGACATAAAATGTTTTAATTGGTCTTAAAAAGTGACCAGATGAAAACTCATTAAAAAAATTAAAATTTGTGTGCTTAAGCTATTCAATTGCATTTATTATGAATATATTATATCCAATATATCTTCGCTGCTTATCTATATATCTAAGTGTAAAAGAAATGTCGATTGGCAGAAAATCTGATTTCTTTCATACCTATTCATTTGTAATTATTCATTACTATTGTTTTGACCGCATCTGTGCAAAGCCACGAGTGTGCATATAACACTGACTAGGGCTAGACGAAGGACGGGGAGGGGGGAGGAGGAGCTGGCAAAAAGTCATTGGAATCACAAATTCAATGCGCAAACAAGGCAAGTTGTCCACTATTTGCCATTCGTACACATGTCCTGGCCCGTGTCCTGCCCCGATGTCCTGCTGCCAGGTCCTCCGCCGATGTCCGGCCCAATCCAGCCTCACATGCGTGCCTTAGTTACATGTCAACACACTTACCCGCACACCCATGGCACACACACACCCAGAGATCCGCATCCATTTAGTGCCACTCACCAGTCGGTTCCCTGTCCTGCTTGTTGATTTTAGAATATATTTACCCTGCACACACATCCAATAAATACCCCTTACACCCTTACACCGATGACCATGCGATCGAATTGAAAAGACTTCCCGCCATTCGAGGGCGTTTCCAAACAGAGGAAAGGGCATTGGAGGTGCGACTTGCTATTCATTGCCCACTATTTTTCCATTCTTCGATAACTAAATGCTTTTAAATTGAAAACTGCTTTCCTGCTCCTTGACGAGGGTATACATTCGCTTCTAACCCGCTGCGTTTTGGGTGAAAAGCCTTTGCCCGACATAAATTTATAGCTAATTGCATTTGCATTCGGTATGTTTATTGGCAAATTGTTAAATAATTCTATGGAGCAAAGCGGCCTAATCGACTGTTTGTATTTTTAATTGAAATGCAATTTTCATTCCGGTCACAAACACATTGGTTTTGCAATTAACTGATGTGCAGGCAGTGGAAGGCGACGGGAAAATGGCAATTGGCAAATGGCCATTAAGCGAGGCAGGTATTATCTGTAATTCAGCTATTGGCACTATGTGCGGGCGAGCATCGAGCAAATGTTATTAATAATCAAGCACGGCAGGCTGAGTTATGCCCGAATGCCCAAGGGCAACACGCCATCATCACAATTACATTTGCAACAACATCTCGAATTGATTGCTCCAGATATTGACACTATTTTCATAGCCAAACATGTGACAAAACAGTCAAGGACCCGACATCGCATGAGTGAAAAGCATATTTGGCCAACTGGCCATCTGCGACATACGAAGACGTGTTTGCGTCTGGGTCCAAAAGAGAAAAATACTCAACAAAACCAATAGCAAAACTGAACAGCAAAAGTTCAGACTGCTCTTTATAGTAAACATTATAAAATAAATACAATTTGCAATTTTATTGGAAGGAATTTGACGGATTTAAAAATAAATATTTTATTTTAGCTTATCATATTTAAATTATAAATTATTTGTAGATAAACTTAGTATGAATTATTCACAAGAAAATAAAAATGCAAAATATTTTTCCTATAAGATTAAAACTACATTTTTGTGTAGTTTTTATAAAATGAAATAGAAGAATTTACAAATAAACATTTTATTTTAACCCATTTAATTTAAAATATAAATTAATGGTAGATAGAATTTTTTTTGATATATTCACAAAAAAATAAAATAGTTTTCCAATCAGATTAGAACTATTATTTTGTGTTACTCCTTTGTTTCCTAGAAAGCTTAAACTACTGTTTGTGACACTCCTAACACAAGTATTTTAATTATTTGTCAGCAAAAATGCATTCTCTGTTATATATCAGTTTGGGGCAGAGTTTGCATTTGATTTTGCTGTTATTTATGGCGGATTTATTTTAATTTTAGCCAAGCTTCTCTCGCAGCACTGCCCTTGCCCTGTTGGAGCCATAAATTTTGTTGCCCAGTGTAGTTAATACCAGGGCATTCTTGTCACACTCAGGACCAACATAAATCGCATGGAAACACATTATTGAATACACACGAGCACACGCACAACATACACACGCATTTCTTTCGGCAGCTGAACATGTGTCTCGGCAAGAAAAACAATTAAATAAGAAAACAATTTACATAAATTAGCTAAAGTGCCAAAAATGGTTAAGGACTAAAGTCGACAGACGGACGAGAATGAGTGTATCGTTTATGCAAACGCTTAAATACACAGAAAAACAGTCGGCTGACAGCACATCTGCATAAAATTCACATTGAGCCGAGGTTGTATCCGCATCCTTATCGTTATTGCCGAACTGCTGAAAAGAGAGCGCTTATCGCTCTTATCACGTTCATATGTGTGTGTGTAGTGTGTGTGTGTTGGCCATGTTTAAGGAACACACGAGTGTTTAGATACTTTAGTTTTCCCCGAAGGATACTTCCCCAGCAATTGTTTTTCTAGGCATGACAATAATGGTTTTTCTTTTTCTACAGCCTCGAACTTGTCTAGGTGCAGATTCAATGAAAGGTTTTCCCCCAGCCAGGAATTGAAATTTAATACCAGACGGCAGCTCTGAGCTTTAACCAAACTTAAAGAATTTTGTAGCGCATGGCTTGTTATTTATTAATTTCTGACAGACTTCAATCTCCCACAGGAATATCTCGTTTTACCCCCTTTCTCCCTGCGCCTAATTAAGCTTAAACTCTTCAATATTTAATAAGCTATCCGACTGGTCACCCCCGTAAAACTTTCTTTCCCAACTTGAGGAACCCACAAGACACTTGACGGAGATTTCGCTCCTCAATTTTCTTTTAGTTTTGGCCCACAAAATTAAGGTCACACGTATGGGCCCATGCTGTAAACCCATTTAATACTATTTGCGCAAATATTCACACCATTCTTGGATCGCCATCGACTCGAAACCCTTTTCCCCATCGTTGAAATTTCCGCACACGAAGGCAAAATCAGCATAATTTTATTTATTTAAAGCAATATCGACTTGCCAAAGGGTCAACAGACGGAGGCGAAGGCGACAAAGATGACGAGGCCGATGGCAAAGGGTTGGACTACTCAATTACTTTAATTTGGTGGGATTGAAGGCGACAGAAATACGCACACAAAGGGGATATATTTAGAAAACAAGAAAGCCGAAATATGACTACACTGTGTTATATTGAACTTTGAATGATTGAATATCGAAAATATGTGTATGTGTATTTCAAGCCAATTTTATTTTTTAAAAGTTGCTTATCTTATATTTAATACAATACAATATTAACAAAGTTACGAATTTTTTTTGCATTTATTTCCCATTTGATGTATTCTTTGCTTTATATCTTCTTTTAAGAATATGGTTTTCAGGGCTTACATATTTACTTCCAAATTAAATTTTGATCTCCACATAGGAAAACATAGAAAGCCATTACATTTTGCAAATTTGATAAGTAAAAAGAATAATAATTCAAGAATGTCGAGAATAAAAACTGATATTCAAAGATGTTTTCTTAAATTTTTGAATGAATTCCAGTAAAAATATCAGCTTTTCATGTCTCCAATATGTTTAATTTTAATTTAATCTCACTTGCGAAGATGAAATAAAGAAATCTAATACTTTCTTAAGTATTTATTTTCAAGGGTTTCTCTTCAGACGCACCAATTAATACCATGCCAAAAATAAAAGCTAATCGAATTTTCTTGAAAAACTGAGCCCTCTCTAAGTCGGAGTTCATTGTCCCAACGAACTGAATGCTCTACAAAATCAGAAAAAAGGGATACGCGGTTCGGAAAAAAATCAAAGAGGTCAAGCGCTGGGAGCAGTCAAACGTGAAATTTATTTTGAGTTGCCGGGCGGTCAGGCGAAGTGGTCCGTTTGGGAGATGTTCTTGGGTGGCTGTAACAAATACACACAATTTATTTACGGGAACCCACTTACATATGCATATGGAGGCAGGAGAACAAAAAAAGGGGATCGGATCGGATCTTTCGGCTCAGCCGGTAACTTTTTTTTTGGATATGCGTACAAATTGCGGTTTATTGAAGCGTAAGGCACAAAAAGCCGAAAATGTAAATTTGCCGCCACCGCTCTTTTGTTATTCATTTTAATGCTGTGCGAAGAAGTATGAATTTAATTTGAAGTCATGCACACGGGTCAAAGGCGAAAAATCAATGCAGACGAAACTAGAGGACTCTATCGCCCCGTCTCTCTCACCATCTCTATATCTCTCTCTTTCAGCCGGACGGAGGTGCGGCAACAGATACGAAACTTAATCGACTGCGTCTACGGCTGGGCAGATTCTCCACGGCCAAGACCAAGGCCGGAAGTGCCGGGGGCGTCTCAGGACCCGGATCCGGGGGCAGGGCTCTGGGCCTGGTCGATGGCAACTCAACGAACACGGTCAACACCGTGGAGGACACCGAGTTCAGCAGCTCGAATGTGGACAACAAGAGTCGGGCCGGCGTCGAGGTATGTGCACAATACAAACACTTCAAAGTTAAATTAGAAAATCAAAAAATCTACTAGATTATTAAATTATATTTAATAATTTTTTGAAGACTTTTTTAGATGAGTAATCTTTATCTCGCAAATTTGTATTTTCAAAGACCAATTCTTTATGTAAAATATAACTATGTTTGATCTTTTTTAAAAAATGTCAAAATTTCAATTATTGAAATATGCAGTTATTAGGAATTTTTTTGTATATCATCATAGAAACTGAAAACTAGAATATAATTTTTTTTTGTAAAGCAAAAACAAATATTCAATTTTTTTAATTAAGAAAATTATATTTTCATATGTCTTTGAAAATAGGATATTATAGTCCAAAGTAATGGTAAATCTTTTAAGCTTATACTTTTTAAATATTACATTTTAAAGTTAATTTAAAATTTGAACATTTTTTAAAAACATGCTTGGGATGATGACAGTAAAATATTCTTAAATTTAAAGTGTTAATTTCTTAATATACTGTTAAAAGCTAAATTTCAAAATAATACAATGAAATTTAAGGAAAGATCCGCTATAAAACTCAGCTTTTATAACAAAATATTTTCAAGTGTGCCAGAGAACACAATGCGGATTTTTGGGTTTAAAGCAAATTTCATAACGCCTGACATGTGCCCAACGATCTGGGGCTTTGCTTCCTGTTCCCGGGAATGCACACGCACACACTAATGAAAATCACACACAGATACTCCGGGAGAGATAGGCTGACCAAAAATAAACCCACCAGAGTTCAGCTCATTTCTCGCTTTATTATGCGACTCCAACTACGAGGATGTGCCCTCTGCTCTGCTGTCTTTTACCTTTGGGGGATTGAAATGATTTTTCCTCTTGGCTACCTTTTCACTGGGGTTTTCCTTCTCGGCCAGCCGTTCCCTTTCCCTTTTCACCCGGCTAATGTCTCATTAGCCCAGCTGCCGTCGCAGCAATATGCACTTGAGAATTCCTCGGGAAACATTTCCTGATAATGATCCAAGGGATGCGGGGCTGCGATTAACCTTTTCATTCTTTCCCCGAGACATATTTCTTGCGGGTGGATGAATTATACATATTTCTAGGAAGAAGATTGAAGGTTATATGGGGAGGAAGCTCTTCTCTTTTCTTACTCTCTTTAATTTTCTTTTTTACCTCTCGTTGAAATTTCTTTTATTTTTAAATAATAAAAACTTTATCTTTTGTGCAATTAGTTTTTGTGTTGTTATCTAGAAACTAAAATGCAAAAAATTAAATTTTTTAATAATGCAATGTCAATATGTAATATATGTACCATACATAATTTTGTAAATGCAAATTAAATTACCATAAAGTTATTATTATACACTGTGCCAAGCCTGAAATGATTTATTTATTACAAGGACCAATTATAAAATTGATTGCAATTTGATTTTAATTGTGTCTAGAGCTGTTGCCCCAAATGCTGGGATAAGAAACCCACTCCCATGAATAAGCCCAAGCAATCCAGGCAAATTATCCGCCACTCGACCAAAATGTCAGCGATAAAATGCAGGCAAAGCTTTCGGTTTATTGGGCGGAATTTCAGGGAAGGGGCAGTTGGGCCGAACCCAAATTTGTATTTAGCCGCATTTTATGTACTTCAATTTTCGTCCAGCGATTTTATGGCTAAAAAATAATCCAAGCGGGCCACACATTCAATAATAACACGCATTAAAGCGAGGGGCGAAAGCAAGCCATAAAAGAGCAGAGCCGAAATAAATTGCTTGAACGTTTTGTTTGCATTGCTACAAGCCGGGCCAATACCTTTGCACTGGTCGAAACGAGGTGGCGAAGTCAAGGCGACTGGTCAAAGGTCAGGGGGTGCGGGGCGAAGGGGCAGGGGCGGAATCACCAGGTTCGTGCCGGTTAAGTAATAGCAAAGTCAAATATAAGCTGTGACAAGGATACGCCTGCCTCCCCCTCGCCATCCAAAAAGCAAAACAGAGACAAAAGGACAAAAAGTGAGAAAGAGAGATTCAAATGAAAATAAGAAAGAACTAAACAACTTTAAATACCGATATTTGGTATACCCTTCCTATAAAAAAATGTCAAAATATATAAAATATTTAACAGCAATTTACAAGTTTGATATATCGAAAATAGCTAATGATAATATATAAATATGAAACATTACCTTAAAACTAATATCGTAATCTTTGTTAGTTATTTTATCAACACCCATTCTTTACCCTTTTTTTAAATGATAACCATAAGCTTTGTGTAATTTAATAAAACTTAAAAGGCAAACTAAAATTCAAAAACATTTTTAACTTTTAACATTTTTAACATTATTTTTATAGTTTGAACATTTGTTTAAATTCAAATATTTGTTTCATAATATGATCTTTCCTTATAACATCCGATTTTCTTTATTATAGTCAAGATTAAAATATTTGTAGTTCACTTTTATAGAACAAATTGCCATGAACTAAATTTAAATTGCGACAAATTTGAATGGTATGCAGCAAGAGAAATCTGTTAATAACATATGAACCCCAAATTGTGTCTACTATTAATTACAAACTTCTGGTCAAAATCCCAACGCCCGATGAAGAGTATGGAAACAAAATAGCAACAGGAGCCAAAAGTCAGTTGGAGAAAGGCAGATGGGGGTTAGCTTTGGGGGCCTTTGACTCCTTGACCCGTGGATTCCGATTGCGATTCCCATTCTGATTCTGGGCCGCCTAACAAGGCACTCAATACGCTTGAGTAATTGAGGAAAATATGTTGATGGCTTATGGCTAACAGCTTTCCTTTCCATTCGCTTGGCCAGCATAACGCCCCCTCCCACTTTCCCCTCACACAATCTTGGGCCTGAGATTAAATATTTACTTGGAAATGGCTTCCACACACCTCTCTTTCGGTCGGTCTCTTTCCTCTTGGGCAAATAAGTGGACGACCAAATAAATAAACAAACACACTTTTGCACGCATGGCCCAAAGCAAATATATAAATTTATTATAGTTTGGTCTGTGTGTGCGTTAAATATGACCAAAAAGTCCGCAAAAAGTCTGCCAAATTGTACGAAAAAAACCCAACCGAAATGAACACAAGCTTCATGGAAACCAAATATATAAGGAGATGTTTGAGTTTCCAGCTGCATAATTGCTGAAACTGATCGAAAATTAAAAGGAAAAATGCAATTTTTTTCTTTTTGGCTTCAGTTGGTGTCCTTCACTGCAGGTGCAAAATTGCAAAGTCCTCTGTATTCCAATCTGCATCCCTCCTCCATCTTTTCCCCCAATCTCCTCCTATTGTTCGCCATTGTTCGGTGTCTGTAAATTAAACTACGCTCTTTGCTTTGGCAATTGGAAGCTTTGTTGCTGATTTGTCTTTGGCTTCGTTTTGATTTGCTGTGGCTTTGATTTGCTTTGCTTGGCCGTATGTCCTTGCAACATATTAAAAATGCTGCAGGAAGGACCGGATCGAATGGTTCTCTTGTATTGGGACGCAATTACAATGCCCATGACAATGCCACCACACAAATGCTCAGTAGAGTGGACCTCAACTTAAGTGAAACATCTATGAAATTATAAGTTATTATCATACATTTATTATTATTATTTTAAATCTTATTTAAACATTTAAAAATCAATAACTACGCATCTGCGGTCGAAATTAAATTATTTCATAGAGAGACAACATTGTGTAATGGTCAACATTTTTAGCTAGTTGATTTTTTCAATAACCAAATTTGCACTAAAATTGTACATTTTAGCAAAAAAGATTCCACCCTAAAATAAACACATATGTTTCATACTTCCGCTTTTGTTGCTTTGTGTTTATGCACAATTGGCCAATGGCCATTGAATTTGATGCGAACTAAGCTCTTGTCCGGCATTTTATGCCACATTTCCATTGTTCCCGAAACGGCAGTTTTTACTTTTATGAATTTGAATGTCTTCCCTGCACACAAATTACATACTCAACACAATATGTTTCGTAATTTATAGCAGCATCACAGTCATAAAATTCATTTGGTCAGGCCATTAATTGAACTTGGCTTACTTTCGAGCACAATGGAGATGGCAGAAAAATAATAGCACTATGTGTCCTTAATTATTTGTTTAATTAAGTCGCAAATCTGTTTTTAGCAAGCTGTAAATATATTCAATGCTTAAAATAATATTCCTAAAAAGGATTCCTAATATTCCTTAAAGAAAATTAAATCTGGTTATTCTCAAGAGAAAAGCTTTAAAAGTAAATAGTATTTACGACAAATGAAAAGTTGTAATTTGACAAATTCCTAAAGCTTTACAATGTACACAAGGATAGTAAAATCTTACAGTCGAATTTCCATATATCGTACTTCCCTAACTCTAATAGAAAGTTTAACTGCATAAAAATGTATTTCTATTACTTGAATGACTTAGCTGACAGAACCGAACCTCCGGGTTATGGAAGTTCCACCGTATAATACAAATAGATTTTTTATATTTCAAAAGAAAACCACTTTTTTTGAGAGAAGTGTGTTTCTAAATAATTTTTAACAATATTTCAACTTTGCCAAGCAATTGTTTCCTGAAAATATTAAAAGCAATTGATAACGAAACTATCGCGATATTCCGAGGCCCCTTCCCTTTCCTAGGCATTATCGTTATCGCCAGCAAAAGGTGCCAGCTGCAAAGTAGACACAATTTATCACACGTAAAGTTCATTTTAGCACCGTGCGGCCACTTCCGCCCGACGCACACCTACGGCCGGCCTCAAATTACAGGTGATTATGGGAATTTTAGTGCTAGACAAGCCGTTAGCAGGACCAGCTCCTCAAATATGTACGTTACATCCGGCAAATTGCCTAGCAGCCCTTTCGAGTGGCTGAGGTCTGATAAAAAGGCTGGGGGGGGAAGAGTGGGGGTCCGACCGTGCCCCAAATGGCGAACGAGCTTAACGAAAGTAAATATTTACCCTCTGATTTTATTCATTTACCGAAATTTATGGCCGCAACGCCATGAAAATTGACGAGCAGTAAATAAATTTATGAATGCAATGCGGGTACTGATTTAAAATGCTAATTTTCCGCATGAAACTTGAAACCGCGGTTCGAAAATGGTTAAACTAAAACTGGGTTCCCTAAATTGGCAATAACTCTTTAGTGTTAGCACTGTCAAAATTCGCAACTCATAATTTTAATAAGCTTTTCTAAATGTTTTATATCAAATCTATCATAAATGAAATCATCCTAAACGGAAAAAAAGTTTACAAATTTTTAAGGCTTTGAAATTAAAAGTCGATAAAATAATATTAGCAATTTTATATTTTAAGTTGGTTTATGACTTAATTTGATTTTGCTAACAATGCTATTTGCAATGCTATTTTGCTAAATGGTTTTTAAAATAAGAGCTTTAAATCATATTTTATTGGCTTGAAATAAAATGTTGTGTGGAGAAAAAAAATGTATCCAAAAATTCTCTGAACTGAGATTTATAAACAATTTATTAATTTACTTTCGACAATAAAGAATTCACGATATGGCTTGAAATAGATGATTTTCTAAAATGGAAATCAATTATATACAGAAACAGAATGTTACTACAATATTTTGATATTTTAAATAACTTTTTTTTATAATTTTTTGACCATTTCTTAATGAATTTAGTTGATAAGTACTATAGGATAAACTTGTAAATCTGTTCCACCTCCGAAGACGAAATTGAAATGCAGCTCTTTGGCTGATTAATTATTATTTCCAATTAGTTAAACTAACTCCAAGTACCCCACTTCCATTCCAGGCGCCCAGCACTTCCGGCAGCCAGATAGCCACCGTGTCGCACCTGGTGGCGCTGGCCAAGCAGCAGGGCAAGTCCACCGCCAAGTCCTCGTCGGCTGTCAACGGAGCGGCCACCGCTGGCCAGGGGGCCGACGGGCAGGAGCCGGAGCGGGAGGAGCAGGACGAGGAGCAGCATGAGCACGACCTGGATCCGGCTGACCCAGCAGCCGCAACCGCAACATCAGCAACGCCGGCGGCCTCAACCGAGGACCAGTGCAAGGCCAACGGGGCGGAGGTCCTGGAGGATCCGCAGCTGCAACAGCAGCTCGAACAAGTGCAGCAGCTGCAGAAATCGGCCAAATCCGGCGGGGCCAGTACGTCGAATGCAACCACAATTACGTCGATATCGGCGCTGTCGCCGCAAACGCCAACTTCGCAGGGAATCACCGCCGCTGCGGCTGCCGCTGGACCAATGACGGCCAAAACCAGCACGCTGACGAGCTGCAACCAGTCGCATCCGCTGTGCGGGACCACCAGCTCATCCCCCTCACCCCGGAGCCACGCCCCCGGCAGCAGGCGCCCCCGCAGCAGCAGCAGTCGCAGCAGCAGCAGCAGCTGTCCAGCATCGCCAATCCGATGCAGAAGGTGAACAAGCGGAAGGAGACGCTAGAGGCGAAGAGAGAGCGGAAGGCGGCCAAGACGCTGGCCATCATCACCGGCGCCTTCGTGGTCTGCTGGCTGCCCTTCTTCGTCATGGCGCTGACCATGCCCCTCTGCGCCGCCTGCCAGATCAGCGACAGCGTGGCCTCGCTCTTCCTCTGGCTGGGCTACTTCAACTCCACCCTCAATCCGGTAAATTGAATAATAAATGCCTGAGTGGCTGCATAAGGGCTGCAGTCGGTTGCGAACAGTTTGCATACATATTTATAGGGATTTTAACTCTGCAGTCTGCCAGCTTTCTTTGAGAAATTATTATTTATACTCTATATTCATGTGATGTATATAGTGTAGCAACATCCCTTTGCACCAAAAATAAAACATAAATTATTAAAGCTGATTGCGTTAAATATAATACAGTATAATAATAAAGTATAATAAATTATTTTATCACACCCAAAATATCAAAATTACCTTAAATATATATTTGTAGGTCATTATTTTAAGACTTATCTTTTAATTGAATATTTTTAAATTTAAAATATAAATTTTTAAAACATTTCTTTTTTGGTTTATTTCTTGAATAAAATATTAAAGTAGTGCAATACAAATTGTTGAGTGCAAATTAAATTTAATCTTTTTAATGCCCCACTATGAACAGTCAGCTAAATAAAAATAATTCAGAAAAGTCACAATTTTTTATTGAGCGATAATACAGATTCCGCCTAATACTTCGTAGCAAAATTTGTAAACTATGATAATAGTATATTGGGACTATTATATACAACTAAAGTATACAACATTAGTTGTAGTGTATTCCCTGCATTCATTTTTGCAATTAAAATGACATTTGGCTAGTCTGATAAAAACACACTTAAAGCTAAATGACTTAACTAATCACAAAATTCATAGAATTTAAAGAACTTACTGCTTAGGTGAATTAAAAGGTAAAAAGTAGATTTTACACAAAGAAGAATTATTAAAAATGGTATTAATACTACCACTTATGTCAGAAAAATATATCTCCCACTCGTATGGCTGCAGTTAACTTCTCCTTTCAACTCTGATTAAATGAATTCCTCTTGCAGGTCATCTACACCATCTTCAGTCCGGAGTTCCGACAGGCCTTCAAGCGCATCCTCTTCGGCGGCCACCGACCAGTCCACTACCGCAGCGGGAAGCTCTAGATAGTGCATGCGAAGAGGCGAAGGTGAGGGATCCCTACTGAAACCAATACCCAGATACACTCATAAAAAATATTAAGATTAGTAACTAGAAAAACTTTTATTAGACTTTGGCCTAAAAGTTAGTTCCCGATGCTTAATGAAAATTCATTTCATCTGTGATTTATTGAACTTCAAGATAGGAAAACTGCCTCAAAACAAAAAAAAAACGACTTAAGTCAGCAAGATAAATATAAAATATATTTTTCAGTCTATTTTAGTGGAGAGTTTACATTTTTTAAAACAAAATATTATTAGATAACCATAAGGAATATTTTTGTTTGAATTTTTGATTTATGAATTTGTTTTCAAGTCTTAATTGCCATTTTTACATTGATAAACTTGAGAACAGAATTGTTGTTACATTTTTTCTGTGCACACCAGTTATGGTTATTGTGTTAGTCAATTTGGCCGGTGGCCATTCGAAACCTCCTCAATCGATTTGACGCACACGCAATTGCATTCTTTTTACGTTATTGTCTCTGGCTGCAAGTTTCAATTTCCAATGCTCGAAACCCGACCCGAAATTGGTAATGCTTGAGTCGTGTGTTCAGAGGTCAGGGCTGCAGCCTCTGAAGGAGTTTCGGGAGCATTTTTGCATTCAGTGACAGGAATTGAAACCATTGTTTGGCTTTAAAACGGGAGAAGAACTTTTGGGCCAGCAGCGAAAGTTTTATCAGACCTTTATCGGACCTGTCATCTGCACGCTGCGATGTCGGTCAATGCATTAGAATTTTGCCACATTACCCAGCTTAAGCATCCCCCCCAAAAAAACCCGAACCCGAATTAGAAACAGGAATTGGTGTTTTATCTACAAAGAAGGGCGCACAAGTTTTGAATAGTTACCATTTGCAGTGCCGAAGAAAAGCCATCTGCATGTGGCAGCAGTTAAATCTTTGCCATTCATTCATTTTCATTCCCATTTCCAAAGTTAAATTAAGTAACATTAATTTGGAAAATTTCTGCTTAGTTTGGCGCCTTACCATTACAATGAACTTTTCAGAGAATGTGAAGATGTGAAGGCAAAAAGTTTTTAGCCCCCCTTCCCCCCAAGAAATCTTAACTTAACACTTAACTAATGAATCTCGCGAATTGGTATTGGTATCTTTTGCAGACGCTTCTGCTAAACCGACAAGCGGATGTTGATCTAACCTCTTCGGCTATAACCAGGCGAGGATTAACGCATCTTGTATACAAAAGACGATAAAGGACGAAGGATCAAGGAGCGGTCACATAACCCGTAGCCATTAAGTGTGTAAATAGCGGATTGAATTGATGTTCACCTATGCAAATATATTCTGTTAGATATAGCTAAATTTATAGAGCCAAGTGGAGACTGTTTTTAGAAGAAAGAAGTTGAATTGAGAAGAGATGCCACCAGGAAATACAAAAGTATCTAATCAAAATAACTAGACCTAAGCCACTACCGCATAATTGACATATAGAGCAATCTACTACCACTTCTTATGTGTTTTCCAACTTAACGTGAATTGTATAACTCATAACTATGTTAGGTGTTAGACTATATTTCTCTCCTCTGCTTCAAGAATGGTATGGGGATTGGAAATGGGAAATAGGAAATGGGAAATGGGAACCAAGGCATTGGAATCGTTATAACTGAAGCGAGTACTCGATTATGTATAGCCCAGCTAGATACATTTAATGTGCGTTTCGATCGGCGATCGAGTATGCATTCTAGGCCTAAGTACATTTGTTGAGCATCGTACTAAACTGTAATATTGATATAGGATCTATAACTTATCGAACCGGTGGAAGCCAGTTTAAATTAAATTTAAACGTATTGTTAAAGCCACACCTAGGTAAATTACATTTAAAACTGTTGTACTATTACGTATATGTTAGATCGGTAGTTATGTGTCGAGGATTTCTTTGAATAAGCTGGCATATTACGTATCTTATAAGCAAACAGTTCGAATGACGTGTAATATTTGAAGAGCAAACTACTTTCGGGAAAAATGGGTAAAACGTAATTAGCTAAACCAAACAAACACGTAAGCAAATACATTGAATAATGACATATATGTTAGTTAAAATTAAGCGGAGGGAAACTGCAGATATCACGATGTTTTACCTTCATTAAACTACCAAGCGAACTATTCGAAAAACAAAATCAAAACTCTACGAAATCTTTAAGCCGACATCATTACCTAGTGACTAAGTGTTTGCAGATCTGTCTATCTTTAAATACCAAATACCAATAGAAATAAGGCAAATCCCAATGGCACCATACTCAGCAATAATTCGAAGAGACACCCACACAACTTTCTATCTAAATTTGCCAAAGGCAATTGCTTTTATTTATTTCCTCTTAGTTTAATATTTCGGTTCGAACAAATTGGCGCGCATTTTGAAAAGAATTATTGCTTGGCATGCGTGCCGAGTTTCTGGGATTATTGCCAAGAAACAGCATAAGTTAAATTAAGAAGAATACTATAAAATTCATTGGCTGCAATTTAAATAAAAATTCAACTTTCATGCAAGAAAAAATGCGTTTTATTTCCAAGCCATATGGGGTTGTACTAATCAATAAACTAAAAAAAAACAATTACTTTTTATAGTGAAATAATATATTTTTTTACAAAATCAAAATTTAAATTTTGGTCTGGTTATAAAGGCTGAAACATTCTTATTGTAGAGTACCAAATTAGTAGAATAGAATTTTTCAAATTAATATTTATTATATATGGAAATTTGGGCAGTCCAAATAAAGAAAAATCAAAATGCCCTAACCCCTATATAATCCCTCTAAGGCAACAATTTGATTTTAAGTTTTGGGTTAAGAACAAAGGTTTCAGTTTCCATTAAAATTAATGAATTTATGTCAGTTAACCTTTTAATTTGTACATTTATGTTTGTGGCAGTACGCCATTAAGATTGTCATAGAAATTTGGACCGTATATAAAAGTATATATATAACTTATTAAAACAACAAAAGTTAGTTAATGTTACTGACTTGCTTATTTATTTAAAAAGCGCGGTTAATGTAAAGGTGTTGCCAGCTCAAACTGTTATCTGAACTCAACAGTTAGTGTTATCAGCAGAATATCGTTACCTATCGACGATTGGGCGCCAAATTTAAATATTGTTCAGGCCAATATTTGTACCAATATTTACAAATTTAAAACTTGTTATGTAAGTATAAACAATGCACTTTCATTTATTATCTTACGCTTATAAATACATACAAAAATACAATGAACTATAACTAGGCATTTTATTTTATACAGGGCAATGCAGCGTAATGGAAATTGGGGAAAATGCAAATCCAGAGTGGCAGTTACCAAGATCAAAGTTTTTCTTGGCCAAAAAGCTTATTTACAGGGACAAAAATCTCTATCTATTCATTTAGTTTTCAGGTCGCAATGTACGTGTAGAGATCCTCCGGGAAGCTGCATTGGTCCAGATCCCTGCCCAAGGCGAAGTATCTCTTCCGGAGAAGATGGGCAGCCGCTTTGGGTTGGCGAGCGCGGGTAAAGACGCCCTTTTTGTTGCCGCCCACACGGGTGTAGCCTGAAAATATAAATTTATATCTGAGATAAAATACTAATTTTATTTTTGAGGGACTCACTTTGAGCAGTCTTAAAGTCAGCAAAGTTCCACACAAACTCGCCGATGAACCAGCCCTTCTTGCGCAGCTCGTCAAAGGCCTTAAAGTGGCGGGAAAAGACCTCCGTTTGGAACTCTTCCGACCACACATAAGCGGGTTGCTAAAAGGACAACAAATAATAATATTTAACGCTTACTTAACATCATTTTTAATAATCCAATAAATAAATTGTAAGCAGAATAAGATGAGGTTTAACCTTCGTTAACAGCCCAATTTTTATAAATAAAGAAAACTAACAGATATAAATACGTAATTCATTTTTTGAACTAAGCTTACATTTTTAATATAACAGAATTTTTAAAAAGAGTTTAAAGTTTTATACTCCCTACTCACCATATGTAAACCCTCCAGGGTATCCGCTCCATATTCAGACATGATAATAGGTTTGTTGTAATGTTTGTTCCAGGCGATCGCCTCGTCGATCACATTCTGGGTAACCATGTCCAGACGTCCGGTGTTTGAATACCAGGCATTGTAGCGATTGAAACTAATGATGTCCAGAGAACGGCCCTGGAAAGGATAGATTATATAATTGAAAGCCTATTTCTTCATTTTCCACATTCCAATTACCGCTTTATCCTGGGTGTGAGGGACGGCAATGGCAGCCGTAATGGGTCTTGAACTGTCCAAAGAGCGCGTGAAATTGGCCACCAATCTGTAATGTTTTAGTAATAGATCAGTCTCCGTAGGATCACCACAAAGTTTGAAGATACCCACTCAAAGTACGAGTCCGCACTCATGCTGCCAGTACGAGGTTCATTCGCAATGGACCACATCACCACACTCGGATGATTCCGATCCCTATGGATGAGCTGCTCCAACGAGGATTTGTGTTTGCCCAGCAGTTCCTGGCTATAGTTTCTAAAAAACGAAATGTACAGCATCAGTAAGAATCCCTCCGGTGAGAGAGAATAACTCAACTCCGTATCCACACTGGGACATTCGTCGATGATCATGATGCCGTGCTCGTCCGCAAACTGCATGGACTCCTCGGAATAAGGATAATGGGAAGTGCGGTATGAATTCGCTCCGATCCATTTGAGCAGGTTGAAATCACGAACCATCAAGGCATTGTCCAACCCTTTGCCACGAATGTCCGCATCTTCGTGGCGTCCAAACCCACGGAAATAAATGGGCTTTCCGTTGATCAGGAACTGCTTTTTGTCCCAACTTAGAGTGCGTATTCCCACCTTGAGACGGTAGACATCCAGAAGCTCCTCGTTGGTCGCCAGCAGCTTGATCTCCAGCTCGTACAAGTAACCTGGTTTGGGGTGCATTAGGTAGGGCCACCAGGGCTTCACCTGGTTCACCTGCAACTGGCCGCCAAGTTTCCCATCCGACGTGGCATTGGCCACCAAAATACCCTCTTTGTCGTACAGGTTGGCCTGAATATGTAGGACGTTATCAGCCTCGTTGGCAGCGCTTCCATTCACGCTCACGCTGTAGAAAACGTCGCCAACTATAATCGAAGGAAAAGTTAAAGCACAAGCTATTATAGCGTCTTTTAAAATCTCACCGCTTGCATCTTTAGACAAGTTTGTGGTGACCTCAACCTCCTCGATAAAGGTTCGTGGCGTAGTGTACAGATGCACACTTCTGTGAATGCCCGCATAGTTGAAGAAATCGAAGGTGTAGCTCTGCACAATGGTCATTCCTTCATCGTTGGGCACCTCCGTGATCCTGCCCTGCGGCACTGTCGTCTGGATCAGTGCATTGTCACACATCACCGTTATCCGGTTCTCGGCTCCGTAATTCAGGAGATCCGTCACCTCCGCCTCGAAGGGCAAGTGACCCATCTCGTGCTTCACTACCTTCTGGCCGTTGATCCACTGAAAAATGTGTTAATCATTAGTTTTAACATATGATAAAAATATTTACTAGATCTTAAGGATAATTATAGAATATTTCGGTAAGTGATTGCCAATCTTTCGTTTATTTTTTTCACAGCCGTCCACAGTGAAGTGGTTTCCTCTTAAGATTTCTTTGATATATCGGCTATGAACTTTATTAAAAATTGTAAACTTATAGCTAAATAAATTAAATTCCTGGATACCCACCACATAGGCTTCGTAGTGAACACTGCCGAACCGCAGCCAGATCCTCTGATCCTTTGCCCAGGTTCGGGGCACGAAGAACTTGCGGTCATACCACACAGTGCCCACGTGATCCCTCAGGTTATCGGTGGTGATGTCATTGTAGGAAGCAGGCACTGGCATCGGAATCGTCGGCCTGCTCTTACTTAACTCCTTGGCGTACCACTCATCCCGCACTCCCTGCGTGGGATTCGCCTGATCCGACCTCACAAAGTTCCAGATCCCGTCCAGAGAACGCACCTCCCGCGTCTCCGATTCCCTGGGATATAGCATTCCGCGTGTCTGTGGCACTTCCTTGTTCACGAGGATCAGGGCTATGGAAAAGTGCAGGACGTAGAGACCAGTGACGAGGGAGAAGAAGGACAGAGCTGCGGATACATAGATTGAACGGTGTAAAAGGGGGTGAAGATTATGTGTATGTACGTAATACATGTGTGAATAAAACACACCGATAATGGAGGCGATTATTTTCCCTACCGGGAATTTCCACTTAATGATATGAGGAAATACACGATTAAATAGAAACATGCGCGTGGTATGTGGATAAATTGGAAAATATTGAACTTGTGTGAACATTTTGTTTATTGTAAATGTTCTATTTAAATTTTTGCACGTCCGAATTGTTGGAGAACCCCAAACTAACCACTCGAGTAGATAGAGGTGTAAAGATAACCCAGTAGAATTTATTTAATGTGTCATCGATTGTCATTTTCTGATAACAGAATATCTAGAATACATAAAACATTAGCCTTACCAAACAAAAAAATGTCATCATAAAGCCAAAAAATACATGGACAATGGAATAAACTAAAATTTTTAAATCGCATTTTACTTTACATCTTTTAAAAAGCAGTAGTTACTATAATAACATTAAAAAATGTTCTTTATGAAATTACCTTAACTGTAATGTAGTGTTATTTTTAGAAAATTGCTGTTAATTTTTAATTAATTCTTAATACCAATGGTCTTTTTCGTAAAAGCATGGTTTACATTAAACTGTTTAACGTGTATGTTTATCTTATCTTTATTTTCCCAATACACTGCAATTGTGATATTGTAATTGTAATCATAATACATATTATTTAAAAACGTAAAGCCCTCAAAATTTTTTTTTTTTTTAAGGTAAACTTTATATATTTGTTTCTAGTCATGTATATATTTTTTGGATATTTTTACTTCGGTACTGGCTTGAAAAGTGAAAAACATATACATTTTGAACACATAATTATGTACATACATACATATGTACATATCTACATTTGGTCTAAAACTTTATAGAAGTTTTAAGGTCCTACTCATTTATCACTCATACGCACAGTTGTCTTTTATCAAAATTTGACATTACGTGTCCTTTGAGTAATTTTTAGGTAATTTTGATACCAATATGAAACCATATCAAAATCTATAATAGTTTTGGTGATAGTTTTTTTTGTACCACCCCTTAATAATGGTTCTTCCTTCATACCCTCAAAACACTCGAAAAAAAATGAAAATCTAACCGAAATTGATAACTTGCATGTTTTTCCTGAAATAACGGCGTTCTACGCATATCTTATCGCCCTTCTATCGTTGATTTCCCCATTCCCTAGATTCTCTTTTTTTATCACTCAGATTAATTAAAGTTCTCAAATGTCTGCTGTTTTGTAACGGTAAACGCCGCAAAGCCCCGACATTCATACTCACATGCATAATGGTTTTATCCGATTTTCAAAGTCGGCGGGCGAAACGAAACGGAACGAAGAGAATCGAATCAAAGGGAAACGGAAATGAAATCGGAAACTTTACTATATAGAATGTTAGCAGCAACAACACGATCAGGACAATGGGCAAAACAAAGTGCCAAACAATGCGAATAAGCGGCACAAGGCAACTGGGCGAAATCGGAGAGCCGAGCTTTCAAGGTGCTCAGTGAAAAGCTTTCACTCTCTCCCAGATACAGATACATTTATGAGCATGTGTCATCATTCTCCGCTTAGATTTCGGTTTTGTTTTTGTTTTTATTCATGCTCTGCTTTTGTTTTTTTTTCGCTTTTGTTTTGATTTTGTTCTTATGCAAATGTCGGGCGCATTGTTCGGCACTTTGTTTTGCTAGTTAAACACGTTTTCTAAAAGCCAACAAAAATCGACGAACATTTCAGAAACCGCCACAATCCCATAATACGCATGCAGACAAGACGAACAGAGAACTTTGCCCAGTTCTCTCACGTTCGCTGGTCGCCGGGAAACTACTTCCCCCTTTATTTATCGTATCTCACATGTTTTAGTCCGGTAATCAGCTGTCTAATCGTAAAAGCTGTCTACCGTTGGGGGGCCACAAAGGAAAGCTCAAAAGAAAGCTCCTCACATGACAACGGTAGATAACACAGATCGATAGCCCAATGATTGAATACGATTTGTTTACTTTAACTAAAAGTAATATTTTCAAAATGAAATGAAATCGTTCTTAAATCGAATGATTTTTGTATACCTTAATATGGCTTTATTTTTATTAAATAAGTCATATTTGTGAATCATGAGAATAAATAAAAGAATATGGAAACTTGCTGAAAGACACTGAATCATAATTATCGAGCTATTCTGATTAATGAATCATTAATGAATTATTCAAACCTATACTATATACCATTTATTTATATGAATACTTAAAAAAATTTATTGCTTGGTAGGCATTTAATTTTGAAATATGACAACTTATTCAAAAATTAATTTAAAATTCTTCATCACAATGTTTTTTATCCGAAGAGCAAATAATTCCTGATAATCAAACAAATTTGGCGGAAATCGTTGATATATTTAAAGTAGTTTAAACCTATGTCGAAAATAGGTATATACAACAAAATCCCAAGCTGTTTGTACAAAATCATACATGCACGCCATGCTGGTTTTTACTGTACTTTAATCTTACCAATCGCAATCAATGATAATCCTCCCATTCCTCAATAAAATCCCCTTAATTTGAGTTGATTTTTAATAATCTATGATCATTATCATTCTGTGGCTTCCTGTTAAAATCAAGTTGATGAGGATAAGTAATTTAATTAATGTGATAGTTTCGTAATCAAATTTTCATTTCACTCAAGTCCTCTAATTTAAATAGCCTACTAAAAGCACTCTTATCATAACTACTACTTCGTGCTATCCACAAATAAAACAAAATAAATTATTTACCGAGCTCCAACTTTTATGTAGATGAATTGAGATAACAATTTTAATTGAATTTATGAGTTTTTGTTTGGTTCAACATAAAAGAGTAACTTCTTTAAAACATTGAGATTAAATGATCAATGAATATAGTACAGATATACATATCTGATTTATCCGATATACACACATTTCATCTTTTATCTATTAATCGACGAATTGTTATGTTTCGTTTATTTAATCGGAAGTATAATAATTAAAACTTTAAATTGGTGTTTGACATTTGTACTTTTTGAAGCTCATAAAAGTTTATATTTAAGGCAGTAAAAACTGGCTTGAGTGCCATTAATAATAATAATTGAATTAACCTTTTTCCATATTTCGTTATTTAAACCTCATAAAAATATTAAATTAATAGAAAATTATAATCCCTCCTGTTTTGTAAAATCCGCTGTTTTTATAATATATTTTTTGTACTATTTTTTGCACTTAAATTTACAAATTCACAAAAGATATTGGTATAACTTTCAATTTAGTCTTTTCGAGAGAAAAACTACGGACTTATAATTGCAACTTGTAATATGTAATGTAATCAATTGTCATTGGAGTAATATATTTAATTCTGTTATTAATTAAATGCAATTTTGTGTAAAGCACTGTGTAGTTTTGTATTGATAATTTCGCACAGTTTATACTTCGTTTCACAATGGGAACACCTTTCTTACACATGGCGATTGGCAATCACTATCCTGCTGCGATTTGACACCCACTGCACACCGAAATCGACTGAGGTTGCACTTGTGCCGCCTGGGGTTTTTAAGGCATTTTCGGGGGCACCAGCTACCGCGAAACTCCGATACGATATTAAAATGCCCGGCACAGCGGGCGATGCACCGTTACGCACTGAATTCAATTCAGAATGGAGGGCACCAGTCGCACCGATCCGATCCGATCCCAGCCGAGCCGAGCCAGAAAAACATATCCACAACCGGAGCAGGGCCAAGTGGCACTGTGATGTGCTTACCCCAAATTTCATATTTGCGACACGTGAGACGGATCTTCAAATGCATGTCAACTGCCCGGTGTCCGGAGTCCGGAGATTCGGATTCAGATTCAGACTCGGATTCAGATCCCAACTATCCGCACTTGTTCGCCGGAGAGAGCCGGTTTCTTGCGGCTACGTTCAGCGTTGCGGCGTAACTGAATCGGATTCGGAATCGGAATCCGCGTCCCAGTCCGGATCCGCGGAAGCCCATGGCGGATGTGCCATTAGTGGGCAAGGCAATTGCGGCCGCTTGCTTTTGCCAGCGGCAAAGGTCGAAGGGTTGGGGGTCGTGGGTCGGGGGTTTGGGGGTTGGTAGTGGGAAGACACGCACCGCCACTGCACTGAATGTGCCCCTAATTAAGCCCGCCCCTGTACCCCCTCACCCCGATAATCCGCAGACGAAACCGAAGCCGCTTGTCCCAAATCCAAAGCACTCGTCATGCGGGGTCAACGAATTGAGCCGCACTACAGTCCAGCTTCTAAAATTCAATTTTGAGTGCCCAGTGGTTTAGTTTCATTATCAATATGGTTTATGACCAAGTTCAGAATATCAATATATTTATTTTCAATAAAATCGTTATAGATTGTCATAGTAAAAACAGGCCTAAAAACATACTATATTTTAAAAAATTCATCCAGCTTCTAAAATTATAATTTAAGTCCCCAGTCGTTTAGTTTCATTATCATTCAATTTTTATTATTATTTTCAATTAAAATTGTATCGATTTATTTTTCCAGTTTGAAAAAGTGTAAAAGTGCGTAATATCATATTTTTCCAATAAGTCATCTGGGTATATTTACTTTATCACTTCGAGTGTAAGTTCAATAATTGAATAAGCATAGCAATTCAAAGTATCTGGTCGTTAAGTCGGCTTATTGACAAAAACAATAACCTTATCATTAGGTATTTTCCTAAGAACTCAACACAACTTTTTTTTACAGGGAGACTGTAATGTTTTTTGTGTAAGTTTCACCTTAAATAAAGAAATAACCATTACCCAAACTATGTGATTCCATAGGCAAAATAATTCCCAAAAAATTCAGTTTTTCCATAATAAGAGGTTAACCATAGCTTAAATTCTTATTCGGTATATATTCACTGTAAACACAATAAAAAAAAACTTCAGCATAACACATCTGTGCATTTGAATTTTCGTTTACAAATGAATTTTTTAAAGTACAAGGCAAGCATTAACTCTGTGTGAATACATTTCTTTATTGTTATGCTAATGACGTTATGCAAGCTTGACTGTAGTCACTAAAAGTTTGCTGGGTGAGGAAATGAGGGAGGGGAGGGTCTAAGTTTTAATTAAGTGTTTCTAGCCTGGTCTCGAACTGGAGTTTAATTAGTCTTGATTGGGAAAGAAATGCGGAAGTTGTAACTCCCCTAGAAAATTAGTTGACATATATTGATGGGTAGGCTGTTAATCAAGATGGACTTATAGTCTAGTTATTAATAAATTCAGAAAATCTAAACGTGTTAAAGTATGTTAATTGTTTATTTGTTATTATAAGCATTCTATTCTTATCCTTTTTAAAATTAGTAAGTATGTTAGATCCCCCTTTATTATTAATTATATTTGTTCACAAGTAAAAGCATGAGAAAATCCCAGCCATAAATATTTCCGTAACCTATTGGGGCCAAACAAAGGTTATCAGTAACTAAGAAGATTAGAACTTTACAAAGCTGGAAATACTAATTCACTCAACTTAATAAAGAGACAAAAGGTATTATAAATAAGAATTCAATTTCAGTAAGAGTAAAGACCTTTCATCAAAGAAAACATGTCTAAAACATGATATCTTATCATAATGAATGTGATTTACGCAGAGGTGTTAAAAGGCTTGTCAAAGATCCGTAAAAATTTATTTGAAATCGTACAAAAATATTAATTGGCATCGCTGAAATATTATTATTATACTATTGAATTCTACATTATTAAATTTATTTAACCATTAACCTTCCACATTTCATTTTTACTTTGATAAAAAAGTAAACACCAACGAAGGTCATAAGCAAATATATGTAAATACAAGCCGTCTGTAATAAAACTCCTTCCAAAAATTATTTATTCTTTGGTTCAATATTTTGCTAATCTAAAAAGTAGGGAACAAATTCATAGAAATAATATATAAATTTTGTTGAACCATTGTTTTAAAAAGGTCACTCGTTATCGAAACAGGAAACCAAAAGTGGTCTGTATACAAATGATCTTAGAGTGCATCACTCTTCCCCAAAATATCACACCTCCGAGTGTTAAGTGTTAGGGTATCGATGGAATGTACGCAACGCCCAGTGCCATTTTCCTTTCGTTTGGCTTTCACTTTCAAGGCCCGGCCCACAAAAGCAGGCCCAAAGCAAAGAAAAGAATCAATGGGCGGCCGAAGAAAGTGAAAATGTCACCGACAGTAAATATAAATAGAAGCGTTTACCCATTTTGGAGCGTTTCGTGCAGGATTCCGGCCGATGATGGATGTGTCTGTGGGGTTATAATTAAACTCCGGGTTAGTTTTGTGCACTTAGGAACTCTTTCGGTTGTAATTAAAGCTCGGCCACAACTGGTTATAAGTTCACTGTCATTTCGCAGCTATTAATAATCGTTTAATGCGTTCTGCCCGTAATTAAATAAACAAAACAAACGATAACGAAAACGAAAACCCAACCGCAATGCGAAACCGGCGCACCGCTGATTTAGATGCGACTAAAACGCAAGCAATGTTTGCTAAGTCGCGTTCAAAATCAAACTGTTACGGCGCTTTAAGTCCTCTGTTAGCCACACACTGTTGATTCGCTGTTAAGAACAGCGACTGTTAAATGAGATTTCTGTCTTGCGCGGTAATTTCAAAAATGTTAAAACAATGGCC